TTATTTAAAATAACAAGAATCAACGAATATGAGTTTGTTCTATTCGTTCGAAATAACTGAGAAACGATGCCTACCTGATTTATCAATAATAATTGAATGTTCGCTAATATCGCACAAACCAATCCTCTCTAGATGCACACACTTACGCTTGTGAAGTATGGACAGTCTCATGTCTGCAGTTTTGAAAATACATTAAGCGAGGGGTTTTGTGTCAATCCTTGTCGAATGTTAGGCTCCACTTTATCCTGACCTTTGTCAGCATACCCCAAAACAATGACAACGTCAGTGTTGAAGGGCATCGACTCTTGTCATATGAATCGAGTCGACCAGACCAGTCATCATGATCATGTATACTAGAAGATTGCTCTCCGTAGATTGCCTTCATGTTTGTCTTGCGTATGAAGCAAACGCTATCATATTGTTTAATACGAATATAACGTACCAGTGCAAGTCTTTATTAATTTTAATTTCTTGCGAAATATCAATGATGGTGATTTGGCCGAGTTGGTCTAAGGCGCCGCACTCAAGTTGCGGTCTCGAAAGAGGCGTGAGTTCGAATCTCACAGTCACCATTTGTGTTAAAATGTTCCTTTTTCCTCGAATATGATGTAACAAATTTTACTACTGATCACTTATAATACTGTGTAACGATCTATTTATAACAATATGATAGTTAACAGTGTACGCGTATAAGGTAGACGAAAGCGCGCCTTTTTATTTCCACCAGAGATGCTAGTAATTATTAATATCATAGCATCGACCATACTAATTATCGGTATGGCGAGATTATGTACTGTATCTTTGCAAATTCTGTTGCATTATTGAAAAGGTACAGGATAGAGTTTAATATTGGGAACGGATGATTTTCTACTTACGCATCTTTATGATACTCTTAGTTTATTTCTTGTTTGTATAAGCCATATTATAATTAAGAAATATTTGAGCAATCGCCGCAGTCTAGTTGGCCAACGGGAACAAGCAATCAACAGGGAAAATATTTGTTTCTGACCTGTCAAATAAATCAAAAGTTGTCTTTGGTTAATACATATTATCTACCAGACATAAGCTAACTTTAGGCATGTATCCCTAAACCTTTCGGCTACTATTATAATCGCTTTAATAACTTGCAACTGTCATTCGGGCCTTGAAATAAAAATTTTTTAATCAGTTTATCAAACGCTAATTTTGATCACTGTCAATTGATTATTGCTTTATACAGAAAATTTATCAATTTGTAAATCCAAAACAATTATCTCCACAAACACTCAAGCAGTCTTTTGTTTGATAACTTGCTTTCAGATAATACTTTTTCCGGATTTATAATTTTATCTATAACACTTTAGACAACAAAGTTATCGAATTCGCACTTGATAGAAATCGAGACGCGGATTTTATCAGCAGTCATCAACTGAAACACGCAACAATATATCAAGTAACATTATTTACGCAGTACTTTTAGTATTGAACGTAGACATGTCTATTGAAAAAAGCAAATGTTCAACATCGTTTGTTTATTCTGTATTTAACATTGAGAAAATCTCATTCTTGAACTGATGTTGTATTCGACATTGATGAATCTGACTCCACAATTATTCAAGAGAAAAGCTCCCCCCTCGCTTTTATGCTTTTGGTCAAGCTAACGGTTAAATGGTCATACGTATACCCATATTAATATGACACTAACTGTATATAATAATAATGATGATGGGTTTGCTTCTTATTTATTTTAACCACGTAATTTCAACATGTCATGTTTATTTCTTATTCTTGATTTAACAGATATATTATAATGCAAGCCATGAATCCGGTTTTGGGAATGGAAGATACAAATGTAGGCTTCTGAGCCAAATTTGCAATTACGTGCAGCAATTCTCCAATAACGGAACGATAGGTATTAGTATTAAAGTTGTAACCTCGATATTGTTCTTCTTTGGGTGACTGTATTTATACACATACGCTGTTCTAATTCATAGAATGCAGTATATGAGTAGACTCGTGTGTGGCTCTTAGATTAGACTTTGAATTTAATATTTTCCACAATCGATACACACGCTCATGTTCTACCAGAATAAGAAATACAGTAAACCAATAGTAACTGGATACAAATTTAACGAATCAACCAATCCCGTTTTCTTAGCGCTCCAATTGCATCTTTTCAATATGCCGTGGACAATATAATCTCAGACTATGGTTGGACAGTCAGTAGTGTAAAGATTGTCAATATACACATACAATGTTGTACTTCAAATAATTTATTGGACCAAAAAAGGATGAGAGGTATAATTAAAAGCATACTATACAACTTTTAGTCCCGTTCCTCTTCTTCTTCCTTTGGATAATTATTATTTTCTTCCTTAGTTTTGTAGTAATAATTCTAATCAACGTTCTCACTTTTGGATAAATTAATCACTTTCATCTGTAAAAGTACTGTATATTAGAAAATAAACATGGCTACTGCCGCTGAACCACAGAAGGTATGAGCATTGTCATCTTGATGAGAGTCTTACGAGATGTACAATTGCAGGGAGAGAGCATTCCAACAAAAAGTTGTTTAAAGTGCACATATACTGCACCTAAACGTGTTTACTTATTACTCTCATGTGCCTATAGGTGCAACTCAATGGTTACGTAGGTTTTGATACCATCACCACGCAAATTGAGAAGAAACTGTTGAAGCGTGGATTTCAATTCAATGTTATTGTCGTCGGTATGTAAACATTAACCACATAAATGTCGGCTGTTGTAGGATTGACAAGGCCATAAAATATAGCAAACAAAGTTTTCATAGTCAATCCCTCATTCCCTGTCTTTTCCTAGCACACACATTCTAACGTATTTTTCTTAATTAAGGTCAAACTGGATTGGGTAAATCAACGCTCATCAACACTATTTTTGCTGCTCACCTTATTGACAGCAAAGGGCGTCAATCTGTCGAAGAGCCCTTTAGGCAGACGACCGAGATCCAAACCGTGTCTCATTGTATGTTACTTTACTTTTCATTGAGCAATGACGAATGATTGATAGGAACGATTTTAGTACTTTGTTAACAGAGTCTTTATGTAATTGCGCCTAATTTACGTTTTATTTAATTTGTAAAGTAATTGAAGAGCACGGTATTCGTTTAAGACTCAATATTGTTGACACTCCCGGATATGGCGACCAGGTCAATAACGAGAATTGGTGAGCAACAAGAATAGTTTAAAGGGAGGAGGCGGGGGTGTTATGTGAATGTATGATTAAGATTACGCTGCTTAACTTTTGATGAACATTCTAATAACCATTCCTTATTTTAATAGTTGGGAGCCAATTATCAAATATATCAAAGACCAACATTCAGCTTATCTTCGCAAAGAATTAACTGCCATGCGTGAGCGTTATATTCAAGACACCAGAATTCACTGCTGTTTATTCTTCATTTCACCCACCGGCCATGCGTACGTATATTTAAAGTTCATATATCAGTTTATAGGTACAATTACAATCATCAAATGGCTAATAATTCACCTTTTCTTTTTTTAAACCAAAGTCTTAAACCGCTCGATATTCTCGTTCTCAAGAAACTTTCAGAGGTTGTCAATGTCGTCCCTGTCATTGCTAAATCTGATTCACTGACTATCGAAGAACGCCTTGCGTTCAAGCAAAGAGTAAGTTTTTCTGCCCATCAGCAAGCGTGATTGAAATATTTTGAACTAGGACTAAAAGCCATCAATTTTTTTGCTTGCAACTTTCTTTAAACTAGATAAAGGCAGAATTAGCACACAACAATATCAAACTCTATCCGTATGATAGCGATGAACTCGATGATGGTGAACTTGCTTTGAATCAGAGCATGAAAGAACTTATTCCATTCGCCATTGTCGGTTCCGAGAAGAACGTTGTTATTGATGGAAAGGCCGTTCGCGGGCGGCGGAACAAGTGGGGTGTGATCGTAGGTAAGAGATCAGGAAGAGAGGGAGTAGAGGGCTGCGTGGGTCTGGGAAGCGAAACGAAATCGAAATCAAAATCGAAATCGAAATTGAATCGAGACTGAATGATCGCTGGCAATTTTGTAGTGGAGAATGAGAATCATTGCGAGTTCGTACATCTGAGAAACTTCCTCACTAGGTAAGAATCGCTCATTCTTGTTGGGATGAGCTTATTTACATTTGTGAACAGACTATCGGTTATCATCTGCTAACAACTTTATCAACTCTGTACATTAGAACTCATCTCCAAGACCTTATCGAAACCACTGCTCAGATCCATTATGAGGCTTTCCGTTCTAAACAACTCTTGGCGTTGAAAGAGTCCAGCGCCAGACAAGAGCAACCGCAGCCTCCTCAGCCATCGTCGCAGGGTGGAGTCATTTAATTTCACGCTACCACTCATAAAATTAGAGCTACATAGCACATGGATTCGATTTAAAGTTGCAATATCCTTACTTAGAGTCTACATATCACATTATATTCATATCATATTAATGGAGGACACGTTCTCTGTTTACGTTAACACCGATTATTATTAGTTTATTTTGGTAACTTGATTTCATTTATATAATTTAGATGTAGTTTTTTTTCGAGAGAGAAATTCTGGACATACTCCATCCAGAATTATTAATGATATTCATGTCGACAATGAAAACATACCGCTGCAGATAGAGTGAAACATGAAATTGTTGTAGGGTGACGGGAACGTTTCGAACAATGATTACGAGTTGATTACAAAGCAAGCTAAACATCGCATGCTGTCACTAATAATTCACTGGTCTTGCGATAAATACTCAAGAAGATTAGTGTGCAAATGATGCGTGTATTATTAATGAGGAAAACGAGAGATTGGAAAACTATCTACAGACATTATGCTATAAAAAATCTATTACTCATAATCAATGCAAAAATGTACTTATACTTCCCCAATTACCAATAACTGCCAGACTGTTACTCCTTTCTATCAACTCCAAAGTCTGAATCTTTGGCATCACAGCCTCAATTAAACATTCAAATTCCACCCAAACCTCGCCATCACGTCGGTTGCCCAACTCGACTATCTCCCCATATCGTCACCTTTCCCTTTTTAAACTTTCTCAACCACCAAACTTCACTTTCCATAAATCGCACGGCTCTGTCCCAGACCCTTTGCCTTACGTCCTGTGACAACTGCCTGTTTCTTAGATCAAAATCTAACCACGCTTCGTGAACACGGTATTTGGTTTTACCGCTAACTTCGGCTTGGAGAAACGTGATTAGTTCTCCAACATACTCGTCGTCTTGATTGCGTTTTTTCTTGTGATATCCATACCATTTGAAGGTACTGTATATCACTGACAAGAAGAGCACAACGAATAAGGAAGCCAGGAGAATGGCTTATAGATTTGACAATTGGGAAAAGAGAGAATTAGAAATTATTGCTGATAGTAACCACGATTAAAAGAATATAATGAACCCCGTCAAAAAAAGTAGAACCATAGAATACGTACATACGAAGAAAGCCTTTAAGCTATCAACAAAGTCTCTCGCACTCGTGACAATGTCTTCTTTTTTAAGTCCCACAACCGATGCCAGTCGACTTTCTGATGCAAGCAAACAGAACTCACCGATCAGTGCATTTCTTAAATAGCACCTCCCACTCTCCCGCACGAAACCAATAACATTTTCTTTTCTATTCCTCTCTCTCCATTCCACTCTGTCTTTCTCTCTATCTCTCCCCATTTGCATTTTCCCAACAACGTTCAAAAACAAGCAAGACCCCACCTGCTCCAACAAAAAATCACTAATCACCATCAAATAATCAACGCACCAATTACACTACTAAGTACCCTGATCAAGACATCACCAATCCTTTCAACTTTACTCCTCCTTTCATGGTTCTTTCCTCCTTCAAACGCACCAGTACCACTACCAAGCCGTACTTCTTCTTGTTCTTCTTCAAAACTATTGTACTCTCGCACCATGCACATACCATTTCCATTTTCACTTATTTCTATTCCCTTCTTTCTATCTATGTGCCACCAAATACCGATAAAAGTAAAAACAAACACAATGTCTAACAATCGCCAATAGTTAAAGAGTGTTCTTTCGGGTGGTTGAGTGCGAAGATGCATGGGGATTTTCGATTCAAACGGACGTGGTGTGTAGGGAATGTGTCCATAACGATGGTGGTGGTAGCGTTTTACTTCGTCGTGATCGTCTATTATTAATCGGCTGGGAACTAGATCACCCATGACAGAAACTATTAAACGTTAAAAAAGAACAAGGTTAAACTTATATTGTGTGACGTCGTCGATCATTTCAAATTGATTGGGATCAGCCAATGGGGGATCTGAGCGTATTAACAATATTAATACTTAATATGGTTAATTGATAAATTACACAAAAAAATAGATTTGAGCACATAGTATCTTCTAATATTCTATTACTACACCCCAAATGCGATATGAGAAAACTATTGTAAAATCAATAAAATATTTCCTGCTTGAAAAAGCTTCTCTTTTAGTTGTGGAAATGAATTTCGCAGTCAGACTCTCACGGATGGCTATGCGTATTGCAAATCTTAAACATAGAAGCATGGTTTACGATATTCAAAAATTGATTAATATCAAAGAACGTATTCTTAATAGTAACGCACTTTACATTATGCGTGACATGTACAGTAAAAACATTTAATTAATGGCAAAAATGTTAGTCAGATGCAACTTTCTTTTTTTTTATACAGTCTCTGGCTATTTGTTAACTACAACCTCAATGTTATAAAGCAATCGTACTGAAGCATTTAATGCATTGGAGTTACAAAATAACAACCCTTGTTCGGTTACCATTAATTTTGTCTATTGCAATTGCAGCATCCTACCGAACAGTCTTATTAAACGCAGCAAGGGTTAATTGAATATTAATTCTATTGATACAACAATCGAAGCCAATATCCTGACTACGTACTTATTGGCAATACGCTTAAAACTGGTGAAATGTCTTAAAATTGAAAATTGCGACAATAAAGAATCAGCCCGAGGAAGACAAAGTTATGCAATTTCTTCAACAGAAGGTAATTATTATGGTGAATAGTTGATAAATATATCTCTCATTTTACTGAACTGATGGCACGGATGGAGATAAACTTTATAGAAAACTTTAGAAAAAATTAGTTGGCAAATGTTTGTGTGTTCTCTGATCTGAAATAAGTCTGTTTACATAATTGACTTGCTTGTATAAATAACGCGCCTGTTAAACTGTTATAGGCCCATATAAGAGAAAACATCCCCCACGCTTGTTAGGCAACAACACTGAAAATTTCCAGCATATTGCATACTAAATCTCTACCGTTCTAAAAATTCATAAACGCACTATGATTATATGGGGCATGCTGCAACAAAACCAGACAAAGTGAACATTCAATTATGTGACATAAATGAGGGGCTGGTTATGATGTGGCTGTAAAATTGACCAGTGTAACTGATGGCATTTTGAAAAGTAATAATGGTGCTCATTCATAACTTATGGACTTGTTAATTTTAATGTTTCCTTTATCATACCAGAATGTGATGAATATAAACCATAACAGGGTGTTACGGCAAGCCGATCTGATGAATCAGATAAGTAAGTCACATGATAAAATCTTCCTCCGCGATCACACATCAAATAGCACAAGTTAAATTAGTAGCGGCGTTTCGAAATTTCTGCGGCAGGCGCAGCGTTTCAATTTTTCTGCGACAGCACAAGACGCCATAATTCATTTATACTTATTTCAATTGATCTTCATAGAATTAGTAGTCTAAAAAGCGTTTCACTTTTTTTGTGATGCTGAAGATATATAAGCAGCTCAATTTCCATCGTATGAAATGTGAAATATGTTACAATGTTTGAATGTTGAATAAATAAAATATTATTGATCTTAGTAATATTCCTTTATTATAAATATACGGTTTATTTCTATCGTCGAAATAATTGATTATTAGACCGGATACTCCAATAAACGGCTCACTTAAGCTGTAATGGAATAGTGTTGTGTCTGAGTTGGGGACCTGTCTCAGTTCGGAACCCAGTCACTCAGTCCAGAACTCAGTTGTCTCGGTTCGGAACCCAGTCACTCAGTCCAGAACTCAGTTGTCTCAGTCTAGAACTGAGACAGGTCCCCAACTGAGGTACAACAGCATTAATCAGTGGACGCCTGATTGTAATTATTATTTGCCATATGTGTCAGTAGTACAAGCGAGTGATATGGGGAAGTCTGCAATGGTCAAATTGATTTCTGACAGAGTTTTTGTTGTATACTGTTGTTTGAGGAATGTGCAACAAGAATTAGATCTAGGCTATCCAAAACGGTCCAGTATCACCCCAATCTTGTTGCTTGATCATAAGTTGACAAAAACGTCAGATAATGGGGATGAAATTTCTGTTCATCCAGAAAACATTCATCTGCTATTTCTGGGTGCTTGTATAGATTTGCTGGCCACATCATCAAAGACGCCGTCGGAATGGTTTTACTTTCAAAAAGATCATTCTTTTTGGTCACGGATTCAGGCATTGATGGAGGAATTGAAGAATGAAATCCCAGAGCTTCAATATGAAACATCACTGCAAGACGAAAGACTCTCATCGGAATTCCTGTTAACTAAATGGAAAAATTTATGTAACACACCACATTTTACGAAAGATTTTTGACTCATCTTTGTTTATGATGAATGTTGCAGTCTTGTCGAGAAAGATATTTTTTACATGCTTGTCGAGCTTTCAGAGCACTACCAAGAATGGAATCTGTATCATCTTTATTTGTTATAGTTATGGATACACTCTCACGGATTTCTAATTTTTCTCCAACAAAATGTTATGAACCTTCAACACATGCTTCAGTCTCACAGATGCGACTTTTTCCACCATATTATCTTCTTGACTTTGTTGACATTTTTGTTCCTCAGACATCTCCGACAACCTTAAGTGAGTTTGCAAAACCTGATCACTGGATGCTTTATGGGCAACCACTGTGGGGAGCTTTAGTACAGGCACAACAAACCAAAGAAGATCTGAAAAATAAATATCCACTGTTGGATATTTTACTAATGGCTGCTGGTAAACTTATTGGTGGAGTTGATTTTCATAATTGGTTTTCAAATTATAAGATAAAAAATGAAAGAGTTACACCCTTGGTTGCTATTGCTGTATTGGGTCAGAGAGTTGCACTCAACATAATACCACAGTCAGAGATTGCAATGGAATTAGTAGCAAGTGCTATTACTATGCGAGTTTGTCTACATATTACAGAAGATCGTGGAACTATCCTATCAACATACTTGTCTGAGCCAACTTTAAGTGAGGCTGCTGCATATATCATGAACATTGACAATGGGTTACTTGTACCAGATCTGCTGACTATGTTAATCAATAGTATCAAAGAAGGAGTTGCAGAGGCCAGTTATCATGGTGAATTAGTAGCACGTTTTCTCTTACTTTTGGCATATGATTATGCCTATAGTCAGTTTATAGCAAATGTGTCATATTTTCCTGGCTATTATTCACAAGTCATCACTGTGCAACAATTCTTGCAGGCCTTACTGGATTATGAGACTTTTAACCTAATTGCAACAGATATTTCCACCAGTAAACCCAATACATCAGCACCACTAGGTGAAGGTTATATACAGTTCAATCACTTTGTTTCAATAACCTACACACCTTCAAGAAAGCAATTGTTGAAATTCTTAGAACGAGGAGCTGCTGTATTATGCAAACATAACCAATGTGGTGTAGACATTATCATACCAGTGTTACTAGAGCCTGGAGGAAGGATGAATATCAATAATATAACCTACATTCTTGTGCAAGTCAAAAACTGGAGACATACACCATCACAACATCAAGTCCAAGAAGCTTCAAGAATGAAACTCTCACCTGAGTTTGCTGGAATTACCACACAACATTTATTACCTTATTTGTCTCTCTATTTGCAACTGGGTGGTGAGAAATGCACAGCACACATTGTGGAAGATATTGGTATTTTACCAGAAGTTGACCAACTGCATAAATTAGTTTTATCAGAACCCAATTTATTGAAACGTCCAGCTGACAATGCAGAAATTCCCTTGAAAAGAGTCAAAATTGGCAGAAAAAAACGCTATCCATCAGATACATCAGTTTTTTCTGTGATATGTCAGACTTTCCAAGTGTCATTAGCTGTTTATGGTCTTGGAAAAGAGGTGTATGCTTGTTTCAATCATTTCACAGCCATTGAGACCCAAACACAGATTTTAACATCTCTGAGAAAGCTCTTGGTTGCCTGGCCTGATGCAGCTGAACTTGAGAATGATAGTAAACATGTACAACATATGCAACCATTAGTATATGTTGATGCAGTCAATAATAGTGACAATAATATTTTGTAGCTGTCATTATGATAAGAATATTCTTATACCATGTCTTTGCAATTAAATATTAAAGATTAGATTGTATTACAATATTCTGATATCAAATTCAATTCTGAGTATGACTTCTGGAGCAGTATTATTTGCCTGGCATTATATATTGGAATAAAACAGCAGTCTAAAGAAAAGCAAAACACTATGTTTGTACCTTGTCAATTTTAATTGATATTAATATCACAATTTGCTTATCAATCATACTTTACACAAATCATGGCATTTACATAACCTGTAAAGGAGATGTAATACAGAGATGTGCATCAAGATAAAAGAGTGACTTTTTGGATAATTTATTCGATTTAAAAAGTTTGATAAATGCAAGTAACTTGAGATTTTAGAGTGATATTAACCACTCGAATTGCTTCTCTCCTTTTAGCAAGAAAATTGAAAATACTAATCCAAAGATAGGTTTACAAAGTATTAAAACTTATATATAGGATTACCCGTATATGATAAATAACGAATATAATGGCTCCACCAAACATGAAAAAGCAATACGTTTCTTGGAGACAGGTTGCAATTGTGGTTGCTCAAAAATGATTCCGAGAGAGAAGTTTGCTGAATTACGTGAGGCGTTTCAAGCTCTCTCTAGATCCGAACAAGATATATTTTTAATGGCCCAGTTGAAAGCAATGAATGGCGGAGAAATAACTGCCAGCTGACGTCTTAAAAAAAATGCGTACTAATAAGCGAACATTCTACTATTGAGATCGTAATACATCTCTTTGCCAGAAAACGTATCTTAATATGTTAGGAATTGTCGCACTCACTTCGAAAACGTCAGAAATCACCTAGCGACAAATGGTATCGTACCGGGCGTTCATGGTAATATAAAACGAATGCCGCGATGGAAAACCAAAATCACCATTGATATAACCGTTGCTACTGCCATGAAAAATTTTCTCGAAAATTATGCTGAAATTCATGGATTACCAAGTCCGGGTAGAATTGTCAATCGCATTACTCAATTGCTTACACTTCTGCCAGCTGAAACAAGTTGCAAATCGGTCTATCGTGATTTTATTGCAGGCCTCGAAAACGATAGCGCGTTGAAATTGTTAAAATATGATGCATTTCGCAAGTTATGGCACCAATTAACGCCTTATATTCAAATAATGAGTCCAAGAACGGATTTATGTGACACGTGCCAACATTTCCGGAATGGCTTACAATATAATGCTCGTAAGGAAGAAGAGGCAAGAGACTTACTAAAGAAATTCAAAGAACATCTGGTTAAGGCTAAATTAGAGAGAAATTATTACAACAAAAAGACGAAATTAGCAGAACAACAGAGGAAATTGGTAAATGAACATTTTATAGCAAGAGGTAAAGCTGGTTATTGTAGCGTTGACGCTACTGCTCATTACAGTTACGATTGAGCGCAAAACGTTCACGTTCCCCATTCCGATCAACAAGTAAGATTTATTATCTTAGTCCGCGTAAAGTGCATTTATTTGGTATACAAGATGAAGCAGTGCGCGAACAAATTAATTATGTTCTCGATGAAGACGAAATTATCGGCAAAGGTCCTAATGGTAAAGAATTTACTGAAGACGGAATTGTTAAATACTATACTAAAAAGTTAGGAGGACAAAATCATGTTCAGAAGAAGTATGAAAGCCCTTTGAGGATCAGCAACAAGAAGTGTTCTGAACTTGAAAAAATCCTCTGGCTATCTTATCAGTAATTGGATTGCTTTCATGGCCGGAGGACTGGTGTGAGCTATTCTGAGCCGGAAAAAAATAGCTTCTTGATGAAATCAACCTGCTGAAGCCAAAAGTGATGAATTTGATAATGATGAGGAAGAATGGTAGATAAAGTTGCTGGAAACACAAAAAAGGTGTTCTAATAATGATTTGATTGTTTATTCTGCCAGTCTTCTTTTCTTTATTGGTTCACCATAAGTTGGCGTTAATGCTCGTTTAGTAGTTATGATTTTCCGTTCCTCTTGATAAATTTCATAAGTGGTTTTTTCTTGATCTAGATATTGCTGGAGCATTTGGGTATCATTGATTTTGAAAACATAAGGGGCAATTTTTTCTCCTTGAGCTTTCTTTAGGATGCTTCTAATAGTGCTGTAATTCTTTGGTTCCATGGTGGATTTAATGTAGATTAGTTTCATATTAATATTTTTTATATAGGGATAATCCTATATTAATCCTGTTATGGTTTATATTCATCACATTCTGGTATGATAAAGTGAACATTAAAATTAACAAGTCCATAAATTATGAATGAGCACATTATTACTTTTCAAAACGTCATCAGTCACACTGTACACTGGTCAATTTTACAGCCACATCATAATATATTACAACCAACAGTCATCGGATCGAATGATTCAATACATGCGTAGTAACTACGTATATTAATAATATTACTGTTCACAAGTAGAAATAGTTTACCTCACAAAAATCAAATAAATCGTGCGCATCAACTACCGTCTTTTACCATTTATTTGTCGTCAGTTCTAACCAATCTGCTACCCGCGTGCATCATGATGTGATAACGTCGTCTCTCGTATGTTTGTCAATCGAGAATATTCCGTCCATTGTATATGTTTCATGCCATTGCTAGTCCATTCATTGGATAATTATTTACGTCGAACAACTTTCTATCAGCAACCAGATAATAGCTGCCATCATATTCGGTAACCTTATCATGCTATTGCATACCCGCCTGTTAGAAGTGAGTATTTTCTGGCAAACTCACTCATTACTTACTGCTGGTGTATGGTTTTCAACGCTTCAAAGTAAAAGAATCATCTCTTTATAAATTCCAGCTTACAGTGGATTATTTGTGTCAACTTGGCCATATTTTGAATGAGGAATGCCCAAGGAGATTACTTAACAGTCTTCGTACTCATAATCGCGACACCAATTTAACAACTACGTGTTGACTCTTTTCGCAGCATACAATGTGAAGTTGACGTTCAGCCACATTTCTTTACTAGTTCGTTTTTAGCAAATTGTGCGTCATAGTCAGTAAATATTGTATTGAAATGCGTAATGTTTACAAACAAGTTTATGGAAATTGGTATGTTTTTCTAGCGCTCGTTCATAACTGCGTAAATTAACAAAAATAGCAATGTATTCCGAACAAAATAAACTATAAATGGTTAGCACTAAAATGCTCGCTCAAATTCAACAAGTTCTCAGTTTGACCAATTCAGACTAAAAACTATTTTACGTATCTGGGAATGTAAACAGCGATTGTACAAGTTCTCTGCTTGGGCGGATATACCACTCATACTTGTAATATTGTTGACTAATGATTATTAAGTGTCAAGAATGGCCCGGACGTTTTTCCTTAAACGGTTAGTTCAGCGAAAAATCAAAAACCAGCCCTTTCGCATGGCGCAGTAGGACTAGAATCGATGAGGCTAGCTAAATACAATGATTTGTGGAGTTGCATTGCTATTGTGTCATTAACTATCCATTTCCTACGCCCATGTTGCGGTGTTTATTTCCTTCTTTAGTTGCATAAATGTGTTCATTACTATTGTAAGACTACCATACCAGCAAAATGATATTACTATTTAGTAATGCCATTCTACACACGTATTGTTTAAAGCGTGTTGTCAAAATGATGAAAGCATGAGCATTTTAATATTAAATCGGCCTTGATAACAGCGTTGCCTGTTTGCTGCTATATAATTAATATGACGCGACTAATTGTACAATACTCGTGATAAAAGTTATTTTACCTTGCCAAGTACATAATACTTAAGTAGTTAGATCAAGTGTTAAGCAGAGTCTGAGTTTCATAATATCTATCAAGATTACTATTAATTATTGGTATTCATATTAAAATGAATGTGACGATCGACAAAAGCTTCGGAAACTCGTGAAAACGGTTTCAGAAAGCAAATTCCTTGAGTAACTATTCCAATAGGACGTCTCAACCAGATCATCTACCGATGATCTTGAGAATCAGACTTGTGACTGCATCTCTTTATGCCGTTTTAAACGATAGAATCCGCTGGCCAATCATCAAGTTGCGTTCAATTGACAAATGATCCACAACTCGCGAAACACTTCTCCAATATATCATTTCAAATAACAACATTTTAATATTCACATCCAATGCCTGTGGATACTTTTATAAATAAATAAATGCTCACTAAAAGTTGTTCATTTATACAATATCAAAATATACTCTAGCTTTGGTTTTTACATTAAAGCCGGTTAAAATAATATCACAAATAATGTAATGCAAAATAATACAATTAAACTTTAAGAATCTGTCTATCTGCATCAAATGGCACATCTCGAAATTCTCTCATACGGAACAACGAAGACGTAGAATTATAGAAATATGATGGAAAAATACAAGTGACAATACATTGAACACATCGATTACACCATATTATCCCAACAAATAATCAACCGCCCATCTCTGTCATTAACACCTGTCACTTGATATAATTAATTCTTGTTATAATGAAGCCAGTAAACTAAATCTACTCATGTAATACTTTTTTGTCTCGCTCCTCAACAATCTTTAGAGAGAATACCTCAGAACCGCCAATCGTCGGATCATTTGCGGAGACGAGAATATTGCCTTTATTATCCGAAAATAAACATTGCAGGTTGTTTCCTTCAATGATCTGTTCCAATGACCCGGTTTCTACATTTCTGACTTCAATCAATGATGCCTCAAACGCAAGAATGTATGGATATTGCATGGCTACGGGGATATAAAGCCATATTAGTACGTGGATAAAACGCAAAGAAAAATTTCAAACTCTTGCTTACCAAATGATGTTGGCGCACCCTCCCACATCACTAACCAATTATGGCGAGACCGCCTCCCATCTTTATTCACATAGAATGCAAACTCTACATGAAGTGGAAACCATAAGCAACGTATATCATACACATTAGAAAACTACATGACTGACATACCATCATAACAGAGTAAAAAGTCCTCTCCGAGTCGAAAAAGTGCAATTGGCCTAACAGAGTCTTTCTTCTGTATGAAGCCAAGGGTAGTGTCTCCCGAGTCAAGTAGACGCTGTGTGTTTAAAGATTCGAGATCAACAATCTCAAAACCTTTGGCACAGCCTACACACAATGTTCTCTTGAGGAAATGTAATGAAGACACTTCTGATGGCACATACAATTCCTATTAATAGAAATCAATTAGTATACTCGCAAAGTTACACTCAATGTTCATTGTATAAACAGTACCTTGTGTATTTTGAGATAATCATTTGAATTACGTAGGAATTTGAAACCAGGGCCCTTGTTCTTGCTCTTTGAAGTGTAATCTATTGGTTCTAGCGTTTTTATTGTCGACTGAAGGGCTGTTGATTTCACGGTCGCAACCAGCGTCCTCCCCATACAAGTTCCCGATTTAAAGAAACTTGCATGTACTCCAAGTTTGTGTGCACGTTTATTGGAATGGTTTCCATCATCTGATTGTAAAGCATCGATAGAGAAACTATATAAACTTCTGTCTGGTATAGTATATGTAACAAGGAATTGTCATTAAGTATCCAATACATGGCAAATGCATTATAATCACGCCGATATAATTACTGAATAAATACCAGCTAGAACCAATAAAAATCCGTAGTCCTCGAGCATTTCAATCTGTGATACTTTTTCAATTTCAAGGGCTTTTTGGGGTACACTTTCAGCACCAGGGTTAATATCGCCAATCCATATTCCTGTTTCTGTCCCGAGGGCCAACTTCTGATAAGAGTCTAAGTGAGAAACATAAGCTGAAATCATTCCACAAAACGCAAGACATGTCAACAGTAATTGTGAATTAATATTATATGTACCAAAATAAGCTGCACAGCTGATATTGTTCGTCCCTGAGAAGAACTTCCCTCGTATTAGAATGTTCTTCTGGAAGACTGGGTGCTCACAGAGCGCCTGTTTTTGATTTTTGATTTGCTTTATCCATTTCTCACGTGCAATTTGCGTAGTAGCATAAAGTGTCGCTGTGAAGCCCTTCTTCCCTATATAAGTGAACGTTATCGGATATGACTTGTTGATAGGCTTTCCTCCGGATTTCTCAGGAGCTCCTTCTTGTGTGGATATGCTCAGTAATTGAAGTGGAATCGGCTGTAATAATGTGATATTGATAATAGCAAAAGTCATTTAATATAAGATGACACGAGCTCCCCATAATTTTATCAGCAAATGTTTCAAAAGCTTACTTTTCGGTGTATTTTATACTGTTGTTCTATTTGCTTGTTGTTCCTCGCTTTAACCATTAATAAAGCATGATCGAATAAAATTACTTGTAGGTCGTCTGATTCCCCTGCGCTGCCCCCCTTCTTCTTCAGCGAGCCTTTGTATATTATTTCTCTACACTCGTCTGTCAGCCTTAAATCCTATAATACAATACAAAGCGGTCAACATAGACACTATATTATCATGTGTGCTGACTAACGTAGTACGTACCATAAAGTCACTTCCTTTTGGTATTACCAGTTGGTCATGAAGTTGTTGCAAGTTGAATCTGTTCTCCGTCTTCCCAGATTCAATATTTACATTTGTCAAAAACTCTTTAATAATGTTGATAACTTTTGGAAGATTTATTTTATCTGGGTGATTGTCAGGCGTATGTTTGAGAACAGCCTGAAGCAGTAACGGGTATCGTCCTAATCGAGTGATCGGTTTTGTCAGATATCCATTGAGCTCTAACTTCCTAGACTCGGGAAGATGCTCGGTTTCCTAGAATTATCGCATAGGCACTTTGTTAGTCGAACACGATTTTCGTCATTAACACGTTCAATAAAGAAGAACAACTTACCTCTACAAATTTGGAAAATGCGCTGTTTGTACTTTTGTCTCTTTCAAATTCATATTTCCCCCATATTTGATGAGCGCCATATTTAATGAAAGGGTCAAATAATGGCACATACTCCAAAAATATATCCCCAATCTGCTGTACAATTGCATATGAATTTTGTCTTTTTTGGAGAGCATCGGACAGTATGGCATTAACGCTATGTATTTCCATTATGTTATAAAATACGTTATGTAAGAACTGAGCGCGACGATGCTCTGGTATAACATTTAGGTTTGAAAGAGGTGTCATCCAACACTAAACATATTTGAGTCGGTTAGTGATAAAGTTTGCCAGAATTTCAACGCATAATATAAACGTACATCTCTAACATATTCCAGATCCCTGACAAAATCTTTTTCGGTATATATGACTTCATTTATAGCTTCCTGACGTTTTTTCTCCGTCTCTGATACAGAATTGGCTATCTCTGTCGGTACAGAGTGTATCCACAATTTCTGATCCTGTGGCAGTAATATAACATTAAGTTCGATCTAATATATAGCGAATTGACAATATTGCTAGTACATACCTTCTTCTCCGATAATGATTCCCGACTGATCACTTTCTTTATCTGAGCGCTTGGTCTTTGATGCTGTATATAAGCCTGTATATAATTGTCGAATAGTCAGTCGGAATAGTCATTGTCTACTTGAAACAGCTACCCATATTATAACCGTGAATTAATTTTTAGACTCACCTGCTCTAGTCTCCTTGGGCAAGTGATACTGTAGCAAACATTCTCTCGCGTACATGTCGGCGAATAACAGTCAGTCAATAGCGTGAATACACCGTTGGGTAGATCAGCTTCTTGCGCTTCCGCTTCATTAGATGCCTCATCAAAATTACCTGGAGAAGACATGATGGAAGGCATTCTATGAAATTGATACAATTCGTTTGGAGAGTCGCGAAGACGGTGGTCGTAAGTAACATCATGGAAAAACTTTTGGGCATCTAATGCGCGACCGAGCAACAACGCCAGATTTCTGTCTGTTGTTTTGATGATAAAAGCTATAGCTTCCTGTTGAGATCAATTGGATGCAGGAAAAAAAAAGGGTGATTATCACAATGTCAACTATCTGAAATACAAGTCGTTACACATGCATACCACAGCATCTTTCCCATCAAAACAATCTTTGTATTCTATGTCGTCTTTAGTTTTCGTTGACATGATTATCCTGTGACGGAACGTCTCTGCCACTCTAGAGAGTAGGGCAGGATATACCATCGGAATGCGCGATATTGAATACGGAGTTTTCGGAGACACCGTAGTGCTCGATGACTCCGATGATGATACATCAGAGAATGTGATTGATCGGTGGCGCTGATGTTCGACGTGACTAGCGGATACAGATCTCTTCTCCCTTCTGGGGATGTTATCTGAACGAGCAGGTATAATGAGACCGGGTCCTAAAGAAAGTGATTAAAGGTTATGAACAAAGTATATTCCGGGATTGATGTCCCTATGGTCTTCCTATAATAATGTAAATTCTTGCATCATAATATCAACTCTCTTTTTTTTTCCCGTATCTTCACACTTGTAATCCTATCAAATCATTGTATTCCCAAAAAACTATATCTATTTTTCATGACAAAATTTCTCGCGGCAATTGTTAAGCTCAATGACTCGTTCAAAACTTTCCAATCCATTCCTGACTATCATCATAAAATGGGAAGCATGTACATACCGTTTATGGTATTTGAACGATTAAAATTGGTACTTATTAGAGGTACATTAGAATTGGTTGGCTGTATACGGCCTGCCGTGGACATTGATCTTGTAGCGGATGGGTGAATGCGCTGAGAATGGATCTCAAGCTGTGGAGGAGACTTGGCCTGTGCCAGCTGTTGATAATTCTGATATGTCGGAATAGAATGCTGGGGAAGATACATAGACTGGTGACTATGTCCATTATAATGCGAGTACCTTAGATGCTCGTGAGAAACCGAGTGAGTGAGAGGTGTGTACGAGTGAGAGGAGTGAGAGGAGTGAGAGCGATGTTGTTGAGGGTGGTGAGAACTGTATTGCGACGAGCGATTTATTGCACGCGTATATGACTGGTAGCGTTGCGGCAGTTGCTGTTGGTGCTGCTGTTGATGCTGCTGCTGCTGCTGTTGTTGTTGTCGTTGTTGCTGTTGTTGCTGTTGTTGTTGTTGTTGCTGTTGTTGTCGTTGTTGCTGTTGTTGTCGTTGTTGCTGTTGTTGTTGTTGTTGTTGTTGTTGTTGTTGTTGTTGTTGTTGTTGCTGCTGCTGCTGTTGTTGCTGCAGTAGTGATGGAGGTGGTATTGAAGGAGGTGGTATTGAGGGCGGTGGGAATTGGGGTGGTAGCCGTGGTTGAGACGATAGTTGAGAAGTGAGAGATGTAAATTCGTCATATATCGAAGTTTCTAAGCTTGTGGGACTTTCTGGAGAGTGTGGTTGATATGGGGTATAACTCCTTGGCCCACGCGGTCTCCGCATCTCGAAATCGTCATAGTGAGCACTCATTCCCCCTGTATTATTAATGAACCGGAAGGTAAGTTTATTTGAAAATTATCCCAGTGAGAGAATACTTTCAGGAGCACAAATAGATAATATCGATGTTACATGGTACCTTGCTATTACCAAAAGTTAAAATAAATAAATTCATGTTTGTAAGGGGGGCCCGGGGGTGGGCATATTAATATGAATTTCAAGGGGCGTTAACGTCACTACGATGCCATAATTCTGGGCATAATTCTGAAGGAATCCACATTTATTAAACCAATGTTCTCTGTGGAAGAGATCACTCGAGTAATATAAGCCAAACTATGGATTAGCCTTTCAATTAATTGTTTACATTTACATTTTTACATTGGGCTGTAGTGGGATGTTTGGCGTTAGTTGTATTTTCCGATTGTGTAAATAACTGGTTTCATTTTTCGGCCATTGAATTTGGTAACGACATGTGCGCAACTTGTCGTTAGCAATTCACAATATTACGGCGATAGAACGCAGCAATACTAATATTATTGATAATAATAACTGTCATACGGTAAATCTGACTAATCTTTCCGCATAATAAACTTTTGTTGTGTAACATTAGTTTTAATATTTATTCAATTACCATGTCCATCTTGGGATAAACGCTGAGACCTAGTATTAATGCCCCCCGCATTCAATGCGGTGAAAATTGAAACATTAATGCTGATAATGGATAGTCTTAATGTATGAATTTCTTGGCCTCGGGTCTTACAACCGCCACATGATTCTACATTATTAATTTCCTCGATAAGCTGTATTTTTAAACCTTCAACTAGATGATGAAACAACCGACTATCAATAATACCAGAGAGCTAAAGTTTGTGCTTTATGATAGTGTATGGTTTTACTATTACTAGCCATATTAATATTGCAAGTTGATCGTTTTATTGGTCTCGCATTAAAAAGTTGAGACAAAATTCCCATTTTTTGTAATTAGCTGGTTTGATTATAGTTGGCATTGGAATCCTTTCAGATGAAGCTTACTAGAAATCTACGATAGACGTCTTCGAATACTCACATAATTAATGAAATAAATATCTTGTGTGACCATTATAGTGAGTATAAATTAAGAATAATAACAAAGACAACGTTTCACAGAATATCCGATTTCTTGGAAATGAGTAAGACGATATTCCTATTTTTAACCATCTGATAATGAATTGTTATCGCGCGTTTTATGTAAAAGCGCAAAACAATGCTTGCTAAAGTTTATGGATTATCCGCTAGTAAATAATCGACGGCGCAGACCAGTTAAAGTTTATCAAAGAGGTTAGCATATTGGGGCAGGCTGCAACAAAACCAGACAAAGTGAACATTTGATTATGTAACATAAATGAGAGGCTGATGTGGCTGAAAGTTAACTCTATAAAAATAAAATATATAAACTAATTTACATTAAATCCACTATGGAACCGAAGAATTACAGCACCATTAGAAGTATTTTAAGAAAGCTCGAGGAGAAAAAATTGCTTCATACTCAATGATACCCAAACTCTCCAGGAATATCTAGATGAAGAAAAATTTACTTATGAAATTTATCAAGAAGAACGAAAAATAGCGTTCATTAACAGCAGCTGATAATGAACCAAGAAAAAAACGAAAGCTAGAAACGTAAAATAAATAGGTGCTTTCTTACTATCATTGGGATTATTATTAATAAAGACATCAAATTCAAGACAAATTTTTTCATTGGTTCTTTGTCGACATATTCATCCGACTTTTATTCTTACAAACCAATCCAAACTTTAGGAGACGATGATGCGTTTGTTTATTTGTATCAAAGACTGTTTAATCCGTAACCGTAGCGTATTTTAATGTTACCTGATGAACTCATTATAAAAATAACACGACCTGCACTTGTATTTTAACTCAGAAGAATCAAATCATAAAATCATTCCAGTATTGATATCGAAATAATTTATTCGATAAAAAAACTTGCAAACAACAAACGATTCAAAAAATGCTTGTTTTTATTATTCAATTCTTTTGCGGGTTGTTGATCGGAATTATCCTTGATCTCTCGCTCCACTATGAAATGCATAATCAACTTGATAATATGAACGAAAAGCTTGAGATAACAGTTCAAGCAGTTAAATCTAAAGTAAACGTTCATTGAACGACATTATTCGTTCAGCATTGACATGTGTTAATCCAGCAAAATCCTTTAAGATTAAACTTTTGTGCATATGAATTTATATTTCCAAGCAATATACGTGGTATTTTACACTTACTGTTACTCTAATTTAACATTAACCTCCGTTATACCTTTGTGCATGATTAGACTATTATTATACTGACTAAACCTCGTCATACTTTGCCCGGTCGATATAGTCGACCGGGCTGCTCTAGTCTATTTCACATTTAGTGTTTAGTATATGTTGATGGTGCAAATGGTTTACATAGAATACAAATAAAGATTATTTGCTATTTGAGACAAGCTTATTATACGACCATTTGACAATGAAATGAAGTCCCACATGGCTTATATTGAGCTTAGCGATTAGTACGATAGAGTGTGAGTTTACTATTGTTGCTAAATCTATTGGTTAAATTTTACCGCGCAGAATATAAATTTTATTCGGACACAGCCTGACCATGTTGCTTCTCGCGTTTGAAACATGGCTTCTCCCTTGCCTTTTGAGTTTCTTAAATAATTTTTGACGAGTGTGCAAACGATTACTCCATACTTTACTCCTGCATTTTACTTAACAGAAGTTGGTGTGTGGTAGCTCTTTAATACTTGTGGGCCAAACCTTTCACTTTCAAGTCGGAAGGATGTAATCGTTCAATCAACGGAAAACCTCACAAACCACATTTGTTGAATGTTTTACTAACATTGATTCTCTGAGAATATGCAAAAAAAATCCGTTTGATTATAGTCTTTACTTGAGGGAGATGCATTTTTCCTTTACACAAAATCCACCCCAAGCAAAAATTTTTGTTCTGTCCTTGGTACAGTGAAATGCCATTCATCAGAAAATAATGTTTTCCCCTCAATTATCATTAAGATGCTGTCTTGCCCACTGTACTTTTTTCTTATGAGTTTCAGTGAGAATTTGTGTAACTATTGGTAGGCTTTTGGAGTAACTAAGACAGGACAAATGCCTTGAAACAGTCATTAATGTCTTCTGAGTTAACATATTTGCCAATGTTCTGGTTGGGAGAGTAGTATCTCTTCGAATATACTGTCCCAATGCTTTCAAAGCTTCGGCCGACCGTTTCCTTTTGCATGGCTACACTTCCTGTTTTTTTTATATTATAGCCAAAGGTATGTTTGTCCTCCTATGTATTTCTTGACCATTGGTTATGCCTTGATTCCATAAGTGTAATATTTTTGACGTTGTGTTTCTTTGGCGGAAGTCATTTTTTTGATAATTGGAAAAACAGAATAACATGTGTGTTACACGTATAAACAAAAACACGCATCAAGTATTTTTTTCAATGACGCGAATTGGATTTTTTGGAAAAGTTATACGCGTTTTTACCAAACAAAAAAATATATCTTTTTTTTTTTGTTACACTGTAACAATTGGTGTTATGATGTGATATGATGCGATTGCTTGTAATCCTGAGTAATCGTAAAGACGATATATTAACATTATGTAGTCATAATTATATACGGATATTGTCACAGTATATGTATTATAAAAGAACATTATATTGCTCAATAAAGAATGACTTTTTAGCTAAACGTCTAAACAACCGTCCACTGACTTTAAAATTACCAACATTATTTTGAATACACACTGTATGAGTATTTTTCAATAAACGGTCAAATTACATAAAAAAGTATCGTGTACAATAACAACAGACCATTAAAGGTTAATAGTACATTACTCATATCGAATACTGGCCTTGGAATTTAGCCTTTTCCGACGAGATTCTTGACTAGCTCTACTTCAACTAAATCTACAATGTTAATTAGTGACCTTTACATTGGGTTTAAATACTCACGATGTTAAATCGGTCTTGTTACACTTTCATTATTCAATCTTGAATAATACGTCTATTGCTCTCTGCGGGATTAATTCAAGAGCCTATAGCGATAGGTCGGGGAAATTAAATGCGCAATAACGAATTAAATAATAACCCTGTTGTCAAGATTCTTTAGCACCGACGGCATGATCGACACTATTTACCACTGATCGAGAAAGCGTTCTAAACACTTTATCAGCGATAGAATACTTATGACTAGGGAACGAACGATAAATTACGTATTTGATAATTCATGTTTCTTTATTAGAATTCAAAGAGCTATTCTAAAGTTATTTATTACAATTAATTAATTGAAGGACGAGCTAAAAATCAGCAAATTTGTCCTTATTTATTTATTTATTTCGTATCACTGTTTCACCGCGTGTTGTTTATAGCGCATTTCCACAAGCATTACA